GTCCGTGGGGGCTGTCCCGTTTTCCGGAGCGTTCAGGGTCAGCGCCAGCTCCGAGAAGTAGTACATGTTCTCTGCATACTTCCTGTGGGGTGGGAAGGGAGAGGAGTCAGCGCCGTGGCCCCTCTGCCTGTGGGGATGTCCCACCCTGTGGCCCAGACTCACGGGAGAGGGTTGCGCTTCCAGAGGGGGATCCGGGATTCCTCGGACTCGTGGGCTCGCTGCCGAGCCTCGGCTCCATTGTCCCCAGAGCCCATCTGCACCTTGTAGCAGTCCATCTTCTCATCCCAGGTACCCAGCAGGACAAAGTGCACCTTGCCCGAGGGATCTGTCACCTCCCCAGTGACCTGGCAGGACAGGGGACAGCCTGAGTGAGGATATCCCGTGGTCAAAAGTACCCCGGGGTGTCCCACGCTTCCCTGCGTCCCTACCTTCCTGGCCACGTCCCGGGAGAAGTAGCTGTAAGGAACAAACTTGAGGTTGCACTTGTCACCTGTCTTGTGGTTGACGATCTCAATTTCACCTGACTGCAAAGAAGAGGTGACAGTCAGACCTGCCCACGCCCATAGGGATGAATCCCCTACATTCCCTAGGGATCCATGCAGCCATACAACACCAGGATAACCCCATATCCATGATTTCCCCCTACCTGGTCTATCCAGAGCTTCCCCACGATGATGTTGTGCACAGTGGTGGTCACTTTTTTCCATGTGTAGTGGTTACCAGAGGAATGGAAGACGCAATGGATGGTACCTGAGGGAGGGAGGTTTAGCTGGGAACCACACCTGGAGTCTCAGGTGATTCCCAAAAGCCCCTACACTCCCCCAGGGCTCACCCAGAGGCATAATGGAGAGGTATTTCCCTCGGAATTTGCTGGTGATTTTGATTTCCTGGCGGAGGGTCCAGCCATGCTTGGAGTCGGCGTGGTGGGCAGCGGCCGGGGGGTGGTGGCTTACCTGGACAGGGAGGGGACAGCTCAGTGACAGCCACCTGGAGCACACAGGTGGGGTGGGACAGCAGGGCTGTCCATACCTGCTCACATAGGGAGCGGTATCCATTCTCCTCCAGCCTATCCAGCTCAAAGGTTTCCCCCAGGAGCGGGTTGAAGGGTTTGCTGGTGCGGAAGACGGTGGTGGAATAGGAGGAGACAGTGAAGGCGGCGATGTAGCACAGCTGCTCCAGGGAATTCTCACATTTGGCAGCCTGATCCAGGAGCTCATGGTATTCCAGGTCTTCTGTCAGCCGCTGTAGCATGGACAGTGGCTCATTGAAGTTCACCTGGAAGGGAGAAACAGGTCAAAAGGGGGTTCCAGGGTGCTTGGTGCCCACCTAAGAGCTGTATCTGTGCTCACCGGCATGGGAATCTTGGACAACTCCTTCCCAATGCAGTTCTTCATGATGCTCCAGAGGTTGAGGCTGTAGTTGGGTTTGTAGGGAATGCGGGTTCTCTTCTCCTTCTTGGTGTCCTCAACCTGGTGCTTGTACTGGGAGGGGGGAGATAAGGGCTGTGACATCGCTGTGACCCCCCAAAATCCCTCTGTGGGAATTGAGGCACATCAAGCCCAGCCCTGTCCCCCTCAAGCCATAACCCCTATCCTACCTGCTCATCCAGGCTGATGTCGCTGCTGGTGCCGCTGATGTTGCTCCCAGTTCTCCTGGTAAGAGGGGAAAAGGGGGTGAGCAGTCCCACAGGGGGTGCAGGCAGTGGGGAGACACCCCACACCCCAAAACTCACTTGTGGCCCATGACATCAGGCATGGGGAAGATCTCTGGGGCATCAAAGAACTCATTGTTGTCATCGTCCTCATCACTCAAGTCACCTTTGGCAGGGCAGCACAGATCTGGGAAGGGGGATAGGGATGTTTAGGAAGGGTGATCATTTCCGGTTTCCCCCCAGCGGGGCACTGGAAGGTCATCTGTCACCACCAGCTAGGTGAGGGGTCACACACCACTCTGGTTGCCCCAAGGGGTGTCAGACAAGGCTCAGAGGAGCCACTTTGGAGCCTCTTGTAGATGCCAAAGTCACTTGGCTACACAGATGGGATACACCCATCCCTTGGTATCAGTGGAGTAAGGGAATCCCAGAACCTTAAGGTTGGAAAAGACCTCTGAAATCATCGAATCCAACCTATGACCTAACACCATCATGGCAAAAATGCTCATCTAGTGTTTCCTTAAACACCTCCACGGATGGCAATTCCACCACCTCCCTGGGCAGCACATTCCAATGCCTAAAGCTGAGCCTGGCTTGGAAAAGGACAGGAAGCAGCTAGAGGAGCTTGTCCCATTCCCTGCCCTGCTACCTTTGCTGGATCCACCAGTGCCGGGTGTGCTGGCAGGGAGGACTGTGGCACCCCGGAAAGCCCTTTCCAGGTGGTTATGCTGCTTCGCCAGCTGCTCCAGCGTCTCCTCCAGCCGGATCCGCTGATCCCTCTCCTGCTGCAGCGACTTCTGCCACTTCTTCCCATGTGTCTGCGCCAGCAGCATGAAATCCCGGCAGGCCTGCGAGAAAACACTCCGTGCTTCATCATCCCAGCGTGGACTGGGGGGAGGTTATCCCACCTTGGGGGCGCTGGGACAAGGACTTACGTTGAGGTGATGCGGAAGAGAGTCGCTCGCTCGTTCACCGCCTTGATCTTCTCGCCGCTCTCGGCAGGCAGCTTGAGGCTCTCCAGCTCGCTGAGGGAGCGCTGCAGGGCTGTGCCGTGCTTGGCAATCAGGTCATTGCAGGTGCTCAGGTCCTCCACTTTGCTGGATAAAATCCGGAGGGTGTTCTGCAGCTCCGTCTTGTCCGTCTGTGACACTGACTCGTCGCCAGAGTCGTCTGTGGGTAGATAGGGGTGTTAGTGAGGCACTGCAGGGGATGTTTCACCCCTGACTCTCCTCCCTAAGCTGGGTGCCGGGATGGGATTTGGGGGTGTCAGGAAGGGCATAGTGGGTACTCCCAAACCCCTGAGGGCTCCCAGACACTGCCATGGCACCAGGGACAACAATGTCACGGCAGTGCGGAGTCAACGGCACATCTTCAGACATCACACTGGTGAGGGAGGGTGTTCCAAGCTGCTGGAGCTCCTCCCTCTTGAGCTCGATTCCTGCTTGCATGGGACAGTGCTGCCAGGCTCACATATGCATGAACATGGACATGCCATTGCATACGCTGCTCCAGGAGCAGCTGCCCACACCCCAGCAATGTGTAGCGATGCTGGGATACTGCCCAGGGCACTGGAATACTGCCTGGGGAACTAGGATGCTGCCCTGGGTCCTATGAGGCACTGGAATCCTCTCCTAGGTCCTGTGGGACACTAACATCCTGCACAGGGGCACTGGGATCCTGCCTTGGGTCCTGTGGAGCACTAGATCCTGCCTGGGGACACTGGGATCCTTCCCTGGAGGCACTGGGATCCTGTCTACAACACCAGGATCCTGCACTAGACCCTGTGGGGCACTGGGATTCCACTCTGGGTGTACTCTGATCCCGCCCTGCTTCCCATGGGACACTGGTATCCCATACCTGACTCCTCCAGCATCTTGACAGCTTTGGCCTTGGCCAGCTCGAGGGCTGTGACCCAGCGCTGCCGCTCCACCTCGGAGCTGGCCTTCAGGTGGTAGGTCTGGGCTCCCCCGTTGGAGATGATGAAGTTGCAGGAATCCTCCACGGTGATGTTGGCCGTGGCCAGGTTGATGGTCCCACGGCACGTGTGGCCCATCTCTGCCTTGGAGCTGTGTGTGGGAAGCCCATGGGGAGACATGGTGAGGGAAGAAATCCATGGGATGAGCCCTTGGAGGGCCGTGGAGGGGCACACAGGGCTATTAGTAGAGAGCACTGAGGCTGGGAATGTCGCCCTGGGGGGGACACAGCTCTCAGGAGTGGCTCAGGGATCCTGGTGCCTCCCGGATCCAGGCACGGCCCGGGACGAGGGTGAAGTCCCAGGCG